CGCCCCTCGCCCACGCGACTACCCTTTGCCCGAGCCCTCGACCCATTGCGCAACCGTCCGCCATTTGTTGCGCATATGCTGTTTCATTCCGGCATCCCGCATGTGTTGCGGGCGGGGTCCGCGCGTAAATGATCGACAACGTCTTTCTGAGACTTGCTGTGAACTCATCGTTTGCACGCGCGGTTGCGCACTATGCGTTGCCGCCCTCTGCACCCGCGCTCGCCATCTGCCCCTTCACTGCTGTTTGGATGATGCAATTTCTGACCGAGCTTCCTTCCATTCCACTACCTTTTCACCCCACGTTTGGCCTGTGCCGACTCGTTGCATGGACACCACTGCACCCCGCCTCTTGGGCTGGCGGTGCCGCGGAAACTGGTCGCCCTTCACCCTGAATCTTGCATTCCTCTCGAACCGACCGTGCGACCGTTTCCCCTCTCTTCTCGATTTGGAAACGATGGAATCGTGGCACGGCTCAACGCACTTCTCCGTTGTGCCGTCCTCACCTGCGCACTCTCACTGCTCGCCCTCGGCCCATTTCTTCGACTCTTTGACTCTCCCTGCATCGTCGGCATGCGGTCATCCACAGAATCAGAGCGACCTTCGTCGACAGGCCGAGCTTTACCAGCTGCGACTGGTCCACGTCGCCAGATTGCATCGTGTAAGTGTCGGGGTGGGCACGTTCTTCACACCTTCGTACTTATATGGACCGCTCCAACGTCAAAGTCATAAAGCTGACACTTCGTTCCCCTCGACACCCTAATTTTGCCCCACCGCCGTCAACTATCTTGTTCGTCCTTTGCATCTTGACCTCTGAACCCCCAACACGTCCACCACCTTGGCAAAATGGCTGCAATCGTCGCACCACCTCCCGCGCCCATCAGCCCCTACCACTACTCACCAAACTTGTACGAGAGCCGCACAGCGCACAACGCCTCATCAAGCCAGATGACACGACCCGACACACCACCGGCGGACTACCCGTCCCCGCTCCTCCGCGCTAGCGATGCATCAGCATCACGACCTCTCATCAAATCATTTGGAGGTCCATGCGGCAAGCCCGTCTTTGCCGGCAGCGTTGACGAGCAATTGAAGGATGTGCTCAATCGCATCGATATTGACGAATGCGAAGCGAATGGCGAAAATGCTTTCTTCGTTGCAGATCTCGCCGAAGTCTACAGGCAGCACATTCGATGGCAGCGGGCGCTGCCTCGCGTCATCCCATTTTACGCCGTCAAGTGCAACCCTGACCCTTACATTCTGCGTCTTCTCGCCGCGCTCGGCACTGGCTTCGACTGCGCTTCCAACGGCGAGATTCAAAATGTGCTCGATCTGGGCGTGTCCCCGTCACGCATCATCTACGCCAACCCCTGCAAAGCGGCCTCTTTTGTCCGCAACGCTCGTGATCAGGGCATTTCCCTCACGACGTTTGACAACACCGACGAGCTTGTCAAGATGAAGCGCTTCCACCCACAATGCAAGCTCGTCGTCCGGATCCTCACCGACGACAGCAAGAGCGTCTGCCAGCTGGGCCTCAAATTCGGCGCCCCCCTCGACAACGTCCCGCGCTTGTTGGCAAAAGCACGAGAGCTTGAACTGGACGTCGTCGGCGTGAGCTTCCACGTCGGTTCTGGTTGCTACGACCCGCTTGCCTTCAAAGATGCTGTTCACCGTGCTCGCCAGGCGTTCGACATGGGCGCGAAGGCTGGCTACCAGTTCGACCTCCTTGACCTCGGAGGCGGCTATGCGCATGACAATTTCGATCGCATTGCGAGCGTACTCGGCCCTGCTATCGACGAGTACTTTCCAGATCGCGATTTCGCACCTGGTGGTCGCCTTGTCGACCGTACTCGACACGGCCTTCGCATCATTGCGGAGCCTGGGCGGTACTACGTCCAAAAGGCTTTCGTCCTTGCAGCCAACATTATCGCTCGCAGAGAGAACCATGTTGATTCGGAAAACATCGACGAAGCAGTCGCTGCTGGCGACGAGATCGATGAGAGACCGCCGCCTGTTACGCCAGCTGCTCCTCCGCCAGGGGAAGCGGCCGAAGATGTCAAGCCTGCCGTCATGTACTACCAAAATGACGGCATGTACGGCGCGTTCAACTGCATCCTGTTCGACCACGCCACGGTGCATCCAAAGGTGCTAACGATGCAACAAAGGTACGCGTACGAGCCCGCTGTCGACCCTCCCGGTGTGGCTGCTTTACCGCACTCGGCGAGCGAAGAGGAACGACAAAGATGGACGCTGCAACCGTGCAGCGTTTGGGGACCTACCTGCGACTCGATCGACTGTGTCAGGTCCATCGCGCACCTTCCCAAGGGACTCGAAGTGGGCGACTGGCTCGTCTACGAAGAGATGGGCGCTTACACCATCTGCGCCGCTTCTTCGTTCAACGGCTTGCGCCAATCCGAAGTGCGATACACGGTCGGTTGGGGTCCGGATGCGGACAGGGTGCAGCAGCTATTGCTCGATAGCGCTCAATCAATCTGAGCCATGATGATCTCGAACGGAAACACCTCTCGAGTCTGCTGCATGTTCCAATGAGCCGTTCCGCGATACATTGCTGCTTCTGCTCACATGTTCGAGAGTGTCACGACCATTTAAAAGCTCGGTAATACATTATTTGCAATGCAATGAATGCCCTCTGCGTGCGCCGCGTGCTGCGAGCAATTATCATCGTTGCGGCACGCGCACTCTGATACTTTCTTTCGAATGCATCCTGTGTGCTGCTTCACAATTCACAATTCAGCAAACGGACTAGGAATACTAGGAGAGGTGATTGTTTCATTCACGTGCGTTTAGATCAGTCATTCTTCGAGCTCTTCCACGTGCACCTCTTGGCGCGCGCCCCTGTAGATTACAGCTTGCAGGAAACCTGTCAGAATCATGCCGTCGGCGACGATGCACCTGACCTGCCAAAGTGACAAAGAGAGAATGAGCGAGCTGAACCGTTAAAGGTGCTGATGGAACCTGACTCACAGTGTACGGTGCGACGTTCTCAGCTGTAAAGGCGGCATGAAGCCAGTTGAGGAGCAGCTGTGTAGCGCTCAGCAGAGCTGTGATGCGAAATGTGCCATTGTACGTCTTGGTCTTGGAGTTGAGCAGCAATTGGCAGATCGTGGCGGCACTTCCGCAAGACGTCGAGAGCGTCTCGAACGCGAGCCACATGTGCTTCTTCACGGCTGGAGCGTTGGCGTTTCTGTGCATCTGGCCTGCCAGCTGACCGAGATGAGGAGGATGATCTGCCGAGAAGTAGCCCTTTGGGTAGCCTCTGGACGTCGTGAGCTCAATATTGCCAAGGAAATCGTGAACGACGAACAACCCGAGTGTGAGGATGAATACTTTCGCGTATGGCAGGTCCAGCCTCGCATTGCGTCCTTCGGCCTGATCGGCTTTGCGTTGACCAATTACTCCAGCAGTGTAAGGGATGCTGTGATGCGTCTTGCTCCACTCGACCCATTTTGAGCGTCTCCAAGGAGCAAACGTGATGCGGAAAGTTCTGAAAGCTTGTAGAATGTTGAATGAAGCTGCAACGAGCGAAGGGAGGATCGCCCCGGTGATATTTTGGAGGATCGGATGATCTTGGGTTTCCAACGAGAAGCTACCAGCTTTCAACGACATCTCAAATCCGAAGACGGATGAATCCACGAAGAATTGCGTCACCAAGTCCAGTACAGCGGCGGCACCGGACAGTCCGTATGACGTTCTGCGGGTAAGCCAGTATAGCAACAATACTGAACCAAGCAAGAGGGTCGTGAGCTGACGAATCAAATTGTAGGATGGGTTTTCGAATCTCTCACATGGTCCACTGGCAAGTCCAAACAGGAGTTCGAAAGCGAAGCTCGCGAAGCCCAGCAAAGTCAAGTGCCGACGGATATCACCGGTCAGGACCCATGATTGAATCTCTTCCATTTGATGGACGTCATTCATAAATAGTCCTTCTGCATAGGACTCCCGAGTAGCACGGTCGCCCTCGACGAGTGCGATATCTTTCCCACCCTCTGCTCCGTTCTTCTCTTCGGCAAGTGGCAAAGGACTCGACACTTTGTCCCTGTTGGACATAATCAGCGATGATTCTGCAAACATATCCAGCTTGTTGAAGTGAGTCCTGACCGGTCCGGTGACTGCGGTATTGACCCTCCATTTGAAAGCTAATGAGTTGTTCTCAACTTTCGCAAATGGTTGTACGAGCTTCAACGAAAATTGGCTAGCTTTGTCTGTCTCAGAAAAGTCCCTATGCCTTTCCTGATAGACCTGACTGCTGTTTTTCATCACTTCCCCTGGGCCGACCCAGAGGTCGTCTTTCTCCACATGATCGAAGAGGCGAAGGATCTCCCGAATGCCTGAATCGCCGTTCACAGCTAGTATTTGAGGCGCATAGAAGTGTCGCAGACTGCCATCAGGAGCGGTAAAGGTGAAGTGCTGATGGAAAGGCGACAGGCGTCTATCTGCAGCGCACCTGGCGTCTCCCTCGGCGACGCATTTGAAGTGCTGTTTCAACGCAGACAAAAATATATGAGCAACAGTACGTGCAAGACTGCACCGAGCTGTTCCGAACCTACCTGAGCCCAATTGGGACCCTGCTTGTCTTTGAGATCTTGCAAACGGAATATGGCTTGTTCGTCCACCTTCGGAAGCATGATCCTGCTTCTGGTCAATAAAAGCGCTGCGACAGTTTTCTTGATTTCCTGCACAGTTTTCTGAACTTCCTGCACCGTCGTTGTCTCCCCTAGCAAGGCTGAGAGCTGACGATCGGCCTCAGCCCCGCTGACCGTGTCATCGTGGTCCAGACCAAAATTGCTGATCAGGTCGCTCACCTTGGCCTCAGCCTCCATCAGGTCTCGCAGCTTGGCCTCAGAGTCCTGAGGGCTCGCAGCTCCTCCATCTTCGATTCGCTCATACACAGATATCAAAGGCTTAGGTGAGCTCCCGGTCATGAGAAGAGCTTCTGTGAGGGTAAGGGGAGCACGCTTGGATGTGCCCAAAGTCGAATTGGCTTGACGCGAGTGTTTCCAAAGGTGACAATTCCAGCCCACCAGTCTCTTGTCCTTTGTTTTGCTTTCAGCTTGTACAGAGCCTTTTCGCAGCGCGCTCTCAACCATTGTCGGCTGACACAGCCGCTTAGGCAGTAGATTCGCACTGGTAGGCGTGCCAGGGCGCTTCCAAGCTCTGGAACGAGCTCTCTCCTCCCAGACACTGTCACCAGTGAAGAGGCCATCGGCGGATGTCAGGTTTGCGAATGTCAGACCAGACCACGGCACATTTGCAGCATCACGATCAGACGGAACCATGACCGAAGTAAAAGACAGCGTGGATGCCTTGACTGTCTCCGCGCTGCGAAGGAAAGCGCGTGTCAGAGCCTCACACCCACAGCGCGCTGTGCCGGGGCCAAAAAAAAAGAAAAAAGAAAAACTCACTTAAGCAATGGCCAGGCGTTGAGGTCGACGTCGATCTCGGCATCAGCAGATTTTCTGGTCGAACCCAAAGTGAGGTTTTGCGCAACAACACCGCTCCAAATGGGCTGCAAATACTCAAGTCGATCGCTTCTGAAGTCGCTGTACTCGATCGTAGCCTGTTCACCCGCTTTCGGCTGCTTGACCTTGTCTCGCCGTGACATTCTCGATTGGCTCTGCTCATCATTGACGAGCATGTTGTCCTCTTCTGCCCACTTGAGCCATAGCGTAGCGTGCACATCAAATTTAGTCTTGGCGTCGAAAAGAGGTCGCACCACATCATCCTCCCAAGTCTTGTCCAAATCCTTGCCAAGATTTTCCTGCTTCAAAGCTTCTTGTTCTTCCTTCGTTCCAAACATAAACTTTTGCATCTTGGCCGGATCGTTCCCCTTGGAACTTTCGGGCCTTGGTCCGGGAAGAATATCTCCCAGCTTGACGTACAGGGACCGATGAGGCTGCTGTACCTGAGCTCTAGCCCAGTACAGACCATACCCGATCCCGCACAGTGCGGCCAGACCCAATGCGCTGAATGTCCAAATGCAGCAGATTGCACATTTTCCCCTTTCTCTCGTCCGTCGACGGACATCCAGCGCTGGCTCGGCTGTTCCAGACCGGGACCCTACCAGCGGAGCGCGCTGCTGTTCATCCTTGCCAGAGGCGCTTGGGGGCCCAGAGCTGCCTTGTATGACCTTTTCGCTCATGCTCAGAGGAGTATTCTGTTATCCTCGAGCGCGAGAGCTTCTGGCAAAGCTGTGTATCCGCAAATCGAAGATCACAGTGTATGCCGTATAGCAAACGTGCATGGTGGGAGTGACGACAAGCGATAATCATATCCACGATTATGATTCATGACTCAATCACTGCTCAGTATGATGAGTGTGAGCTGCTAACGTGGGAGCTCAGCCATTACCATGCATGCGCAATGCTGAGCGCCTCGCATCATCGCATCAAGATAGACGCTACCGTACAGGCCTGCTGCAGAAAAGTCGCACCCACACGTTTCATGCGGCGCAGTCATTCATTCACTCATTCGCGATTCTGATTGCCGATGCATGAGCTAAATATCGCGCCGTTTGCAGGTTCGTTAGCCCGAGCCGCGGCGCAAGTTACGCGTCTCATCCCCATCATATATATACATGCCTATACGCCGTACCGCTCTCGCTCACATCAGACTTGATTCTGCAGAGCTCAGTTTATAGCGCGCATCAATCGGCTCGCCTCGCTTGGCTTGGCGTGGTCGATACATATAGGACAACTTCACATCTGGCGGGCAAGCTGGTGCGATCGGTTTGGCGTCCAAGTCGGATGTGATTGCGGAATATATCTTTGATACGGCTTACAATCGCTCCCCAAACCGTGTCACACACACAGCACAATCAGAGACACCACATGACGCACTCCAACCACAGACCCCAGCTGACATGCAGACCAGTATATATTCAGATTGACACCTTGCGGATTGTGACCCACGAGGTGCTTGCTTGAGACAAGCGGTCAGATGTACGCCAGCTTGGTTGCTCAATTCAAATCTAATAATGCGACACATTGTTGCCAACAAAGCTTGCAGTGGACGCATCCTACTGAGTCTTGCGCTGACTAGCCACCTTTGCGAGTTCCTGCAGATTTCCAGCCAAATTCTGTTGAGCGGTTAATTCAGCCTTTCTTCTAGCTTCGCGTCTTTCCCTTCCTTTGGCCACGATAGCCCCGATAGTCCTGGGCGCCAACAATCTTCTAGTCACTTCTTCGATGATGTGACTTCCTGCAAAGTCCACAATCATAGCTGCCACCTGCATTGCAGAGAAGACGGAAAGGTCAGCGATGCGGTCCGGATCTCTCAAAGGCTTGAAATGAAGCTCAGCAGCGACAGCGACTTACAAGATGCAGTTTGAAAGCGTCGGGGATCTTAATGAGCTGTAGCCACTCGTTGAGCTCCGGCATGATTTCCAGCGCTCCACCAAAGGCGACGCCAAAAGCGCCGAGCAAGGACCATCTCATCGTAGTGTTTGCCCACAAGCTCTCCCTCCACGGCTGACCAATAAAGTTGGAAATGACCGTGGACACTTGTTGGCTGAGACCGATGAGGAACACGGCAGTGTTGAGCAGACTGGGCGAAAATTTCTTCTCCAGATCCACCACCTTTTCTTGTTCTTCGAAGACCGGCACCAATTGGGTGATGTACCTCATGCTGGCAATGTGCAGCGCAAATTGTCCAAGGATGGAAGCGATGATGTAGAAGTTGAAGATATTTGCCAGAGGTCGTTCCTTCGACAATTTCTCATTGGGTTGTGCTCGAGAAATCATCAAGAAGCAGACGCTCATGAGCATGCCTGAGATGGTAACTTGATAGTCACCGTACTTGATACCGTCTAGGTACATGACGCTGAGCGAATAGGCCTGGATCAGGCAGTTGAGCCCGAGAATTTTGTACTGCTGCACGGTGGATACCAAGCTGCACCTCCCTTGTCTGATGACGTGCGTGATAGCAGCGACGTTCGAAAGCTTGGAAGTGAAGGGCGCAGCTACAGAGGCGTCTCCAAGCTTGATCTGTGGTGGTCCGTCTGCGTCGGTGTCCATGTCAGCCATAGATGCAGTGAGCGTGCTCAAGTCGAATTTAGCCGTTGGGTCAACGACACGCTTGCGTTGCATCTGTTTGATGGTCTCGTCGCGTGCTTTTTCGAGCTCGGGGTACAGTTCCTTCAGGGCGGCAGGCACTGGAGGAGGAGGTTGGCCCCATCTGGAAGTGAGCTTGAGTTGAGACTCGTAGATCTTCTTGTTGCGCTCATTCCTTTGGTGCTCAAAGATCTTCTTCAGATCTTCAGGCGTTCCGTCCAACAAAGCAATACCAATGTTGGCAGCCTTGAGAGCGCCGACATCATTCGTGCCATCTCCGGCCATGAGTGTCACGTACCCGAGACCCTTCAGTGTGTTGAGAATGAGCTCTTTCTGGGCAGGACTGACACGCGCATAGACCCATGTGTTCTGAACAAGCACTTGCCACGCTTGAGGATTTTTCTCCACAAATTGTCTCAGCGCAACGCCAGTCATGCAAATGTCGTAAGTGTCGAAGAGTGTCTCGTCCAACTTGTCCTCCGCTCGAACAGGGATGATCTTTCGTTCGTCCACAGTCCGCCAAACGAGGTCCTTTTCGTCCGAAGACCCTTCTCTGACGTCCAAAATGAGCGTCTCGCGATCCACAATCTCGACTTCTGTAGCGACGTGGACAGCAGTGAGCGGATTGTCACCTGTGATCATGATGCTGCGATGCGACGAGTCGTTGAGAGCCTTCAGAGTCTGCTTGGCGTCCGGCTTGAGTGGACAATGGAAGACGAGGAAGCCAGCAAATTCCAAACCGCTCTCCACGTCCCCTCGGCCGAGGTTGTTCACGCCATCAGCCGTCAGCTGCACTCCATCCACGTACTTGTAGCCCAGCGCAAGCACACGGCTACCTCTCCTGGTGAAGCCCTTGAAAGTCTCGTCGTAGCCTGCGGGAACATTCTTGTACATGCTTCTGAGCGTCTCTGGCGCTCCCTTGACACTTGCGAACAGTCGTCTAGAGCCAGTGTTGTCCTGCACAAAGCTCAAAGTGGACATGCGCTTCAAAGCCGAAGAGAATTGGAAGCGTCGTCGCACGTTGACACCCAATCGGTGGCGAGCTGTCTTGATATCGGTGGGCGCTAGTTGATCGCCCTTGTTCAGAGTCCACTGCAGAGCATCCAGAGTCGTCTTTTCCATCGGGTCACCTACCACTCCATCGTCCAGAAGTACGAGTGCATGTGCAGAAGCCAGAGTCAGGGTAGTCTCCTTGCTCGTGTCCTTGAGATCGATGAGGTCCGCAGGTCCGCGAGCACCAACCTGCGCAACACCTTGCACCTCCAAATCCTCTCCGGTAATCGTTCCAGTCTTGTCGAAGCAGCAGACGTCGACCCTTCCGGCGTAGGGGATCCTGAAAGGCTCGGTGCAGAAGATGGAAAACTTGGCGAGAGCCATGAGAGATGTGTTGACGGCCATAGAGAGCTCCATGGGCAGCTCGGGCGGGACGACTGAAGTGATGATGAGGACGCAGTCCAGAAGCAATTTGCCTTTTGGTCTTCCCATCTCCATGCCGCGGGTCCAGACATACCAGCTCGCAGCGATGGCAAAGATTAGCAAGAAGCCGATGAAGAGGAAAGCTTCGAGATTGTTAGCAGAGACCCGTCCTTCGTTTGTGAAGACCATTAGACGAATGAGCTGACCCTGAGTCGTACCGAAGCCGGTGCGTAGCACCACGGCTGCAGCGCCGCCATCTGGCGTCTTCAGCTGCAAGGCGTTCGCGCGAGACTTGAGGTCGGCAGCCTCACCAGCAGCCCCAGGTGACCCAGGAGCGGTGGTCTGCAAGACCTTTGTGCCGCCGAAGACGACATTGTTTCTGTCATTACCATTGACATCGAGCTTGTCGCTACCCTCCCGCAGTTCAATGCCCTCTTTCAGAAGAGGTGTCGATTCACCCGAGAGCATGGCCTCGTTGACGATGGCGCTGCCACCAAGCAGGAGCAAGTCGCAAGGAGTGGCAGAGTCCTCTTTGGAGCGAGTGACAGATACCACATCGCCAGGCAACAGATCGGTAGTGCTTACTTCCTTCCAAGCGCCTGCACGGTGGACTTGGATTTGGTAAGGCTGGATGGACATGGTACGAAACTCGTTCAGAGTACGCAGACGCTGGATCGTCGAGGATGGCGTGACTCGTCAGCATTTAGCATTTACGAGTATTGGAGCGCGACCTGTCCGTGTTTGCTCACCTGAAACACCACTGTGGCCTCAAACACGACGAGCATGAAGAGGGTGAACAGCGAGTAGTACCAATACTCGTCGAGCATCCATAGTCCCACGCAAAAGATTTGAAACACAAAGAATGGAGCCACCGCATGTTCAGCAAAGAGGCCCAGAAATGTAGGCCTAGGAATGTCGAAGAGATTCTTCCCAAAGGTACCTTCCGCCAATTCCACTTCCTTCTCGCTCGCATGACCCTTGGTGGATTGGAAAGCGGACAAGGTGGGCTGAGAGTCTGCTGGGTAAGGAAGTCGGCGGAATGTGGGCGCAGTCACCAGCGGCGAGGTGTGCACCGATGTGACGGGAGCTTTTGCGTCGGGCTGAGTCAAGATGTACTTGTCCGCTTGATAGGTGAAAGAAATCTCCTGGGGTAGGCCCTTGCGAGTCACGAATGACAAGGGAACCAGCTCTCCCTCTCCCTTGTGGGCGTGAGGAAAGACTCGAGCGATGGAAGCATCTTGCAGCAGCTTGGCCTGCAAAAGATTGAGCACATAAAGTTTGTCAGTAGCCGCGATACTCGGCAAAGTTCAGGAGCTACAGGCCAGAGTCGATGAGAGATGCTGAAGGCTGAAGAAGTTTGCCCCCTTCCCTCAGCTCGTCGCCCTGCTGTACGCAGAGCTGTATCGAATCGCTCCCGATCCGCCGTTCACTTCCAGGCTCTACTCGAGATTTCAATATCCTCCTCGATCATCGAGTGGCTTCCTTTCCTTGGGCCCGCTATCCGCACCCAGCCTGAAAGCCTTCAGGCCAACTTACAGGTCTGCAGGTGAGCAGCGCCCTCGCGCCGATGCTCCACTTGGTGATCAGAAAGCTCAGCGCATGGCTGGTTACCAGTCCAACCACAAAGATGAAAGTCCACTCCTCGCTCTTGATCCAGCTGTCGTACTTAATGAAGTAGGCGTAGGCCAGGAGAGGGTAGAAGAGAGCAAAGGGGGTGGTGTAGAGGTGATATTCTATCGGAATAGGCTTGTGCAGCGTGAGACGAGCTATGTCTGGAGACGTGACCGGCGGCGCTGGTGCCCTGAGATTGGCGTGAGAGTGAATGAGCGAATCAGCGCATCTTTCGGAGATGCGGGAAAGGCTCAATGTGTAGGTACTTTGCACTCACATGGTGGCGAGGATGCGAGCTCAAGACGAATCAATTCGGGGCCGAGCAGAATGAAGATGAGCAGGTGAGGCAATGTTGGACACGTGGGTGAATGCTAGCCTTGTCAAGGATGCAAGAAGCCGCAAACTTGGTAGAGGCTCGCTGGATTGGTGGTGAGCCGCAAAGCAAGCGAGGTGAGGTTGCACTCGAGACTCAACACGAATAAATCGTCAAGTTGTGCGTGATTCGAAGTACGCGTGGAGCTTTGCTCAGAGGATGGGCCGAGCGCATGCAGCAGCAGCAGCAGCAGGCGCCCGCACCTTCGCAAGCAGCACGCATATGATGCACGCAAGCGCGAGCGAGCAATCAAGAAAGCATCTTCTGATCATGAAGTCACGAGTTGTCAGGTCAAGAGTCACGGTCATAGTTTGAGTCAAGATGTGAGTTGTCAGTCGTGAGTGAGCGCATTGACACGAGCAGAACCTTCTCGAATTTGGCCTCTGCTCCTCACGCTTTGCTCGTCCATGCATGCACCTGCAAGCTCTGCTGAGCGTGACCGGCTTCGCTCGTGATCCCAAGTTACAACAGGCCATGTATTCACGCGGTTCGTCAGCAGTCTACAGTAAGTAGTCACGAGTCACGAGTACTAAGCGCCTTGCAGAATCAAAGCCGTGAAGGTGAGCATCACCTCCATCCACACAAAGGAGTCCTGCTTGTCAACACCACTCGCGACGTTGAGAAGCGCTGACTGCACCGATCACATTTCAGCATCTCGAGCAAGTTCAGCATCCAAGGCAAGCTGGCCTTTCCAGCATAGCGTCGAGCGTTAGCCCCATCCAGTCGTAGCGTTGCCCGGCTTCACTCGCGCTTGTCATGTCGTTCTTTGGCTTCGACACGACTCTGCCAGGCAAAGTGTCGGGTGCTGGCGATACTGGTCTGGAGAGCAAATTTCGTAATACATCGCTCGGCGCTGGAGCGAGGGAAGATGTAGAGATTTACACGTGGGGTCAGGATGGCAACGACGGGCTCGGAGATCTGCTCGAAGAAGAAGGAGATGATTTCAACGACGATACCTTTGGCTTTGGCGGAGCTGGTGGAGACGTCGGTGAGGCCAAATGCCGCTTTCAACGAACGCTTTGCGCACCCACATCGCACTGCGTTGAACCTGATCAAGCAAGTGTGGCTGACCTATAAAGTTTTTGCCATCATCTTCTCTCAGGCACGGACTTTGACTTTGCGGGTCAGACCGCAAAACAAGGAGCAGCTCAGAGCTCCTATCCTCAGCAGCAAAACAAGCCTGCCGGAGACGCACGCTTCGTCAGTACTTTGGATGATTTCTGGGGATTGCCAAGCGCACCCGTCGGCGCAGCTTTTGGCCAACCTGCTCCTCCTGCTAGCCAGGGTACGTACCAGCCTCAGGAAGAGCTGTTCCAACGCGAGAGCTCTTGCGATCGTTGCCTGCCGGCTCAACGCTGAATGAATGCTTCTTTGCCTCCCCCTATCTTCGCACAGAGCCACCTCAAGTTCAGGTTTATCAGCCCCCACCGCCGGCAGCAACTCAAACGGCGAGCAGACCTCCTCCTCGCACTATGGAGGAGGTAGAAGCTGAAATGCGCGCTGCTGCTCAAGCCAGGGCTGCTGCTTCCGGCCAACAGCAATCTCAGCCGAGCGCTCCATCCTCAACGCCTGCTTCTCAGCCTGGTCGTCCGCTGACCCTGGAAGAAGTCGAAGCTCAAATGCGTGTTCGTCAGCAGCAGCAGCAGCAGCAACAGCAACAGCAACAGCCCTCACAGCCTGTGCCTGGTCTGGAAGCTTCTCAAGCGCAGCCTTCATCTCAGATACCTCCCGCATTTCCAAGCTTGGAGGCACCTCAACTAGGTGCTGTGCCACAGCTTCCTGCGGGCTTCGGATTGGGTCCAGCTCACTTTCCTCCACTGGGCGCCACTGGTCCTCGTGTGGCCACAGCCGGATCTCGATCAGGTACGCCAGGCATTAGCGGGCCTGGACGAGATGGCATGCCACCCGCAGCGACTGCTATGCACAACGCGGCGCAGAACAATGCCGCTGCCAAACAAGCGCATATGGCCCATCTCAAAGCCTTATTGGACGCTCTTCCTGCCCCTGTCAGGGAAGGTGTGCTTCGGTTGCCACCACACGCCCAATTTGCCAGTCTGGAAGGCGTCGCACACCAATTCCCTGGGCTTTTGAGACCCGAAGAAGCTCCGAATGTTATAGGAGCCGCGCTGGCTAAGCTGTCAGAGGTCGAGCAACATGAAACGCGCTTGGCTCGCAGAGCGATGAAGATTCAAGCCATGGTGAGTGCTTACGCTCTCGTGCTCGGTAGGTGTCCTCGGGGCTGATGCTTCCACCTTCATCACGTAGTCGCACTACAACAACCTCATGACCATCTCCGACAAAGACTTCATCACGCGCATTCAAGTATCGACACTGGTCACGCAGGATCCTTATGCAGATGACTTTTACGCTCACATCTACTTTCAGCTGCGGGGAGGTGGGCCTACTCAGAGTGCTGCTGACGGCGCTCCGAGTGGACGAGCTCAGGCTGGTGGCAGGGCACCACCCAAGGGTCCGGCAAAAGGACGCAAAGGCAAAAGCGCACGTGATCAAGCCATGTCGCGGATGCAAGCACAAGTGGAAAGGATTGTTCAGAACCGCAAAGAGAGATCGGAAAAGGCAGCTGCTGGAGCGGCTCTCGAGGGCGCGCTGGGTCGTGTAGGCCCAAGCACGACCAAAGCGCCTCGGCAGATGCTGCAAGTCGATGCTCGATCTGCTACGCCCAAGCCGGATGGCGCTTCGGGCAGCACCCAAGCTCAGGACGCGGTCAGAGCTGCTCTGCAGGGAACTAGCTTGGCTCACGAGACCATCCTGCCTGACGGTATGCAACCTGCGCTTGGCAAACACGTCGTCCTGGGCGTCCTCGAGAAGCTGTACGAGATCGTCCTATCACTGGAGCAGATGCGCAGATCTGCTCCCAGCCCTCCATCCGGACCGACTGAAGAGCCCTCATCGGACTACCTTGCATGGCAACAACAACAGAGTCAATTGGTGTCAACGCTCTGGTCGGAACTTCGAGTCTTGGAGCCTCTGCAGGTTTCTGATCCTCATCCTTTCATCAGCTTGATGTCGACCATCAAAGGCAAACGTCTGCTGCCTCGCGCACTGCGACATTTGACTCAAGAGCAGGTGCTCACAGCTCTCACTCTGATAGTGGCTACCTTTTCTCAATTAGACATTGTCAGGCAAGGCTCAGCGCTGGATGTGCCGCTTGAAGGGGGCGCCAATGTTTCACGAGAGAATAGAAGAGAAGCAGTCAGACAGACCGAAGCCTTCTCCACGAGCGTTGTCCCTGCTATGCTCAGTCTGATGGCCGGCGCAAGCATGCGAATAGTCAGCGGAATGCTGGCGCTCTTCGTAGAGAGAAATGACTTGATCAGTGTGGCGAAGACTCGGCCTGGAATCGCCTTCCTCACCATCTTCCTCTCTAGGGCCGAAACTTTGCGCCAGGGAGGAGCAGCAGTGTCCGACGTGGAAGCACCCTCGGCGGACGAGTTGGAGCAATGGACGGAAATCTTTGGTCTGCTCTTCCGCAAGCTGACTTCGCGTTCTGGCGAGCTGGCTAGCCTTTTCCCCTCCAGCCGAGCGCGCAACGCGATACCATTCGGAAGCGCCTATTACGAGGGGGCTTCTGCGCCTGGTGGAAGTGTGAGCTTGGGCAAGGAGAGGAACATCGACAGCGAAGATGAACCAGTCTGGAACCTCATGGCTGCCCTCGCTGTCAGTTCGGCGACGGAGCAGCAGCACGTGCTCGTGCAGGAACTCAGAGAGAAGATATTGGAAAACGTCTTTGCGGCAAGAGAATGGGCCGAGAGAAGAGGCAACTCGGAATCGGATGCTGATCTGAGAATCAGAAATGTCAACTTGCTCGTGAGTAGACTCTCGAGGTATCTTGGGCAAAGCTTTGCTCCATTTGCGCCTCTGACGTTCTGTTCGTGTCCCTGTCTTTAGCTCCATGCCCTCAACCTCGACGCGGCTCAAATCACCGTCTGATCCAGCAGCGAGGATCGCTGTAGTCTCTCTGGTCGCACGTCCAGTGCAAAAGCTCCTAGCCATATCTCGCAATTGCTCAAGACTTGTTCCTCAATGTAAGCAAACGTTAGAAAATCAAGTGTTGCTCTCATGAAAATTGAATGCATGTTTCGTCTGCTGGCCGCGTCTTTGAAGACTTGGGCATGGCTCCTGCGTGCTTTGACTCTTGATTCGGATGGGCATAGCCTCTCACAAATGGGAACACGCTCGGTTCGCTTCACACGATGCCCAATCTAGCATTTGTGAGCTTTGTAGCTCGACCAAACGGTCAAGGACCTGAGAACCTAGTCAAATTTATCATGACTCGAGAAGCCGAACAAATCCGTACTAGACGGCCAGATAAGCTCGATGAGTGTGAAGGAACCAGTCACGGGTGGGCGCGCTGCACTGCCGATCCATTCGTGCAGCGGTCAGGAGTGCTGCAATGACCGCGCGGTCCGCATGCAGGTGAAGCACCAAGAGCTTCCTTCTTGGGCCTTGATTGGAACCCAGCAGCAGGTTTGACAGCTCTCATGCCGCCGGCCGCACCGTACTCGACAGCACAGTAGCACCCCTTTTGGATGCGCAGGCAGGCGGGCAAAGGGCGCTGAGCGGACAAGCCAAACTCGGCCGGACCGTATTAAACTCTTTCCCTGCTTGTTTTCTTGTCTGCGTTGGGATGCTTTCGCAGGCAATCTGACTTCCTCGTCGCGAGTGTTCAAGGATAGGTCCGAACAGCACAAGTCGACTGCAAGCCGGCGCATCACTAGTCACAGTGGTAGTGTGTATGGATGTGGGCCCTCGCCTCGATTCAGGATTGCTGCGAAGAAGCTCCATGAGCCCAGCCTAGAAGCCTCACCTGCCGAGGACGACCGCCGGACCTCGGCACTCAGTGACTGCAACACGTCACGCCGACCGCTGGGTAGAGCTTCGAGCTTCGGATCTGCCCATGGAGACCACAGTGGCGTTCCACTGCTAGTGTACCGGTGACTGTTCACCGTGCTCGTGCTGCTGTATGAGCTGTAGCTCGTAAGGTGCATCCGGTTCCTGCTTAAATCCTCAGGCTGAAGATGTACGCAAAGTCGATGTCCAACTCAGTCGTCGTACCTCCACTACTCTTTTCCTGACATGCATCTCCCACTGCAAGCACCTGTGCAGCACCTTGTCAGCGACCATCAACGCTCGCTGTTTTGCACTTGGCCCTCGCAGATGGACATACGAATATCTTCCCGGAAGTAGGTCCTTTGGCCGATCGCTCTCGAGCTGATATTGTATACTTTACTCCATTCCAAACGGGTCTATCAGTCCTCTTGCCTGACCATCCCCACGACTTTCGTCAGAATGGCCTCTTCGGATCCCAGAAGCGATCCGATGGTATCCATCGACGTGCTTGAGGAAGTAGCATTCACAGGAAGGTCAGATGTGAGGGCGGTGATCCCGCCGTCAGCATTCCTGGGTAGCTTGGTACCAGTCTCGCTCGCCTACATTCTCTTTAGCACACCTCGTCTGAGGAATCAGCCGGCTTTCTGGATACTCGGCTTTGCGTTGGTCTGGAGTTGGACTTGGTGCATACTCGTCATCAGCGTGGGTTGACCTCGAGGATAATATCGACCAGGGCTTGTTCAGCTCACTGATGGTTTCGCCTTGTTTGCAATTCCTCAGCTTTGGCACGATGATATCAGGCAAATAGATGACGAGGGTTATCATATTCGACTTTGGTTGCTTGTAGAGCAAAAGTGCGTAGATCGGCTGTCCTGACCCGGTTGCGATAATCTCACGCCACAGAGATTCACACACCGCCGACAACTCTGCATTTTCCACAACCCTCAGCATCGAGACATGGATGAGGCCTATGCTGGTATGGATCTGCGACACTGCTTTGATCTTCAAAATCTTGGCCTTTTACCCTTCGCAGCTCCATAGCCTCCAGAAGAGACTGTGCTTCCTCATCGTGCCATTCTCTTTCGTCCACCTCGCCCGACTAGGCCTTCTGATTGGTGTCCTCATCACGTCCATCCAGTTTCTGTACGATCCCAGTCCATTGGCAGACTCTAACGCCATATCTGGAGCGAGCACGATTACGCTAGCGATAGCCCAGACATCGCTGTCCGTTGTGGAAAATCTGGCGTGCAGTGCCATTTTGATCGCGAAGGTGAATTGACGATTCCTTCCTGCTGAAGCTATGTCAACTGATCCTAGCGAGCTCCCTGCCCGAGTGGGTCACTGACTACATTTTACGCTCATCGCACAGGTCGTCTCGTACTGGCGCATGCCATACGTCTGCTCCACAAGATCAACAGCGGCTCGAATGCGGCTCAAGTTCTTGCTGGAAGCGCTGCTCTTCACCTTCCTACCGGCCACGCTTGCGCAAGTTTCCTTGCTCATCGTGGACTCGATCACGTACAACACGCCAAACATCACCACGCCATTGGCCAGGGGTCAAGAATACTCTTCATATCTCGCGATGGTCACGAGTATGCATTTCGGTCTGCTGGCGGTGTGGTGGTCCGGTATCCGAGCTCAGCCTCGAAGCGCAATACGCAGCTCCGCGGGTGGCAGCGCAGGCGACAAAGTCGTTGCAGGAGAAACTGCTCAAACGGGGGAGACGGGGAGCGGGTACAAGCGACGTGCAGGCTTGAGGAGCCGTAAAGGTCAGATGTCGTCGTCTCAGGATATGGACGCTCAAGACAGATCCATCTTGTCTTACCTCTCCGTGGATAGAGAAGGGGAAGTGGATTTCGAAGACTCTTACGAACCGGAGGAGTCCATGGAGGTGCTCCAGACCAAGGTTGTTGAAGAGGAACGCCAGAGACAGCAGGATGGCAATCCGGAGCATAGAGGCAACCTCACCTACACCACCGCTCGCAGACACAGTCACCAAAGTAATCGACAGTCTGACCCGAGCTCGGAGCGACAATCGTAGATTGCTTTGAGTTTCAAGCTCATCCATCCTGCTTCCTTCGGTCCTACGATTGAAGGTGTGCGGCAGTCCTACATTTGACCATCGTGCACGTTATATAACCCCTTATACCCGCGCACAGGCCTCGTGCGTGGCGCTCTTGGCGACTGTTTGTTGCCCTTCTTGCTTGCACATGCAAACAGTGTCATATCAATGCTCAACATCTTTTCGGAAACGATGAAGTCTTAAGTCGGATCCACTCAAAGACTCACGTACAAGCCGTCAGTCCAGAAAATTGGTGTTTCGCGCGTGATGAGAGCTGAACAAAGCAGTTTGCCCAAGGTGTTATTACGAAGCACAATCACGACTCGAACTCAAGACTCACGACTGTTTTGACTTGAACAAAGACTCGATCATCAATCACGAATCGAGACTCGCGACTCAAGACTCAAGACCTGGTGACTGGTCCAGCGGATGAAGGGACACGTGACCTTCCTTCTGCCTGCAAGTCGAGTCTTGAGGACTTTTTTGAAAATTTCGGCGGATGCGCGCCTTGATTCACGCGCAGCCCCTTGATTTCGGCTCAGCTGCAAGCGCCTCTACTGAATTTGAATCGTGGTATTTGTTTTCAAGATTGCTGAGTCTTTGCTCACTTGCTCAACGTGAACCTTCCAGCAGATGATTATTGCATATCGATTCAAATTGTCTAGCTTTAGCCTGCAGATGCGTGCTGTTTCCAAATGCTTGCTGCACAAACCGCGGCGCCGTGTGTGCGTCTGCGGGCCGCCAAGGGCACGCGGTCAGAGGAAAAAAAAAAACCACAAAAGGGTTGATGCGCGCGAAGAACAGCGCAATTTTTTGCTTGCCTTGCCTCGCCCTTGCGACAGCAGCTACGATGCGGCCATGGCGATGTACAGTGTGAGTGTGAGTACAGGTAGGGGGCTCGCCGGCGGTGGCTAAACTTCGTTGGCTGCCAGTGTCTGAGCTTCTCGTGCCTCTCGTCATGGCTTTCCACCATCCTCATCGACCATTCACACCGCACACCACATCACAGCCATTATATCCTGTTTGTGCTTCTCTCGTCTCCTCGTACGCATTTCACGTTCACGTCTAGACGGCAAGCACTTTCTCTCACTCTCACACGCGCTCAGCACGAACCCTGCACGACCTCTCACATTACCTGACGGCCAAAACCTTACAGACTTTTCCAGAAGACGATCAACTTTTCTTCTCTTCTTGTTTGCAACGTCCGTCAACCTTGTCACGTGGTCTTTTCTTCTTTCGTGCTTCTCTCAACCACCGCGTGATCTCGTAAAAATACCGGCCAAGCTCTAGAGTCACGAAATCAGCCTCAACACCAAGCTGTTCCAGTCACCCGGCTTGCACAGCGTATCTCTATTACTCGACAGAACTCGAACCGCGATAGAAATTGCAGCTTCAGCGTTTTCTCGAGCTCAAATCCCTGTAGCGATAGGCTGGTCCCGTAATCCGGCCACTCATAGAGAGAAGATCAACTCGGTCTTCATCGCCAGCAACGTGTTGCACCTTCATCGCTACAGATTCACAATCGTCAGCAAATCTGCGCGCACTAAGCGGTAGATTGCTCAACTCGACAAGCTTTGTCCAGCATGACCTACGAAAATGGTAGCGCTAATGGCGCTGACAGCCTGTCCAATGGCATGGGTGAGTGGTGAAGTTTCGAGCAGAGTAGCGGAAGATGCCACGCTCAAGCTGCATGGCCCATGGGCCGAAGACTGTGTCTGGCTTTGGCGCTGGTGCATTGCAAGGTATATCGCGGGCTAATCAGAGGGGGCTGTTCGGTGGCCTCGCACCGGTTCGAGCTGGTCTCGTCCAAGTCTTGGGGCACAGCATTGCCCGTCATGTAACACATGCTGACGAGCACTCCTTCTTGCCCTCAGCCAACATGAATGTAAACGACGGTGGTCGCCCCAAGAGCGCTTATGTGCCTCCTCACCTTCGAGGCCAAGCACCTGCCTTCACTCCCAGGTGAGTCTGTCCGCTGTGTCCTTGAACGTCGCGATTTGCGCTGGAGCTAATGCTCAAGGTCCCACGTCAGAGCTGCTGCACCTTCGACCAACGATGCCCCACCTTCCAGCTTTGGCGGCGGAGGACGCGGACCTTCAAACGGCGGCGCTTTTGGTGGTGCTCCTCGCGGTCCTCCCGGTGGCGGTCTGGCCTCTCGATCTGGAGGCGGCGGCTGGGATGCGCCGCCTACTCGCGGTGGTGGCTATGGATCTGGCGGAGGCAGGGAAGGTGGAGGCGGAGGGTTCGGAAGCTGGCGCGACGGCAAGCACGTCATCGGTCCAGAGAATGCTCGGACTCAGAAGGAGCTCTTTGGAGAAGCCGGGGATGGCCTCTCCCAAGGCACTGGTATCAACTTCGACAAGTACGGCGACATTCCAGTCGACGCTTCTGGTCGGGATGTTCCCGAGCCCGTAACGGAATTCACCAGTCCTCCCATCGACTCTCACTTGCTCAGCAACATCCAGCTCGCCAGATACACCAACCCCACGCCTGTGCAAAAGTACTCGATTCCCATCGTGGAGATGGGTCGCGACCTGATGGGCTGTGCACAAACAGGTTCGGGCAAGACCGGCGGTTTCCTTTTTCCGATTCTATCTGCGCTCTTCACCCACGGACCTCCACCACCTCCGCCCGAGATGGCCAACGGGGGTTTCGGCAGGCGCAAAGCTTTCCCCACCACGTTGATCCTCGCGCCCACCCGTGAGCTGGTGTCTCAGATCCACGACGAGGCGCGCAAGTTCACCTACCGCTCGTGGGTCAAGCCAGCCGTCGTCTATGGAGGTGCAGACATTGGCTCGCAGCTGCGTCAAATTGAGAGAGGCTGCGACCTACTAAGCGCCACTCCCGGACGTCTTGTCGACCTCATCGAAAGAGGCCGCATCTCTCTTGCCAACGTCCGCTTCCTCGTTCTCGACGAAGCTGACCGCATGCTTGACATGGGTTTCGAACCTCAAATCCGACGCATCGTCGAAGGCGAAGATATGCCCGGTGTCATGGAACGCCAGACGCTCATGTTCAGCGCAACCTTCCCTCGAGACATTCAGATTCTGGCCAAGGACTTCCTCAAGGAGTACGTCTTCTTGTCAGTGGGTCGTGTCGGGTCCACCTCCGAGAACATCACTCAGAAGATCGAGTACGTGGAGGATGAGGAGAAACGATCGGTTCTGCTCGACGTCATGGCTTCCATGCCAACCGGCGGTCTGACGTTGATCTTCGTTGAGACCAAGCGCATGGCGGATATGCTGTCAGACTTCTTGCTGCGCTCCAACATCGCAGCGACCAGCATTCACGGTGACAGGACACAGCGAGAGCGTGAGCGCGCTCTTGAGCTCTTCCGCACTGGACGCACGCCCATCATGGTAGCTACTGCAGTTGCCGCACGTGGTCTCGACATTCCCAATGTGACCCACGTCGTCAATTACGATCTGCCATCTGACATTGACGACTACGTTCACCGCATTGGTCGTACGGGTCGTGCCGGAAACACAGGTCACGCCACAGCGTTCTTTAACCGCGGAAACAGAAACATTGTCAATGAGCTCATCAATCTGCTCAAGGAAGCGAACCAAGAGATCCCATCTTGGCTCGAGGCCGTGGGCCGCGAAAGCGCGTTCGGAGGCGGCGGGTATGGCCGAGGCGGCAGAGGCGGACGCGGCGGCAGACCCCGCGGTGGAGGGGGTGGTGGCTTCGGAGGCCGAGATGCTCGCGTTGGGGGTGGTGGTGGCGGGTTCGGCGGCTCTCGAGGAGGGGGAGGTGGTGGCGGTGGCTTTGGTGGAGGAGCTTACGGAGGAGGTGCTCCCGGCGGTGGTTATGGAGGTGGTGGCGCTGCATTTGGTGGACCTCCGCCTTCCAGTGGCGGTGGTGGCAGCTATGGCGGTGCAGGCGGTCCTTCGTGGTGGTGATCGGACGCGAGCACTTCAACGGTAGACTATACGGTGTAACGCTTTGATGATCCACTTCACCGGTGACCATCCGTTGTTGGGCGAATCAACACTTCTGTTTGCACACAAAAGGCAGCGGTAGAGTTTGGTGGCACAGACTTTTCCCTGCTCCACCCTCCATAGCTCGCTGCCACCATTCGCTTCGACTTGTTTTTCTTTCTGCTCGTCGCTCACATTCGAGTCTACTTGCGCTTCTCCAATATCCTGTACATACCGCCTCTCCTCAACCGAATGACAAAGACTTTGACATTCCGACGCGCTCGACAATGCTTTTGAACGCTGTGCAGTAAGCGGAAAGTATCTCGTGTCAAACCGTGGCTGCGCACAGGTAGCTTCTGCTAAAGCTCCTGCTTCCTGTTCAATGCGGCGAGATTTGCCACGCCTTGACGCGAGCGACTCTGGCTGGTAAATTGTCTCTGATCCGCAATCGGCGGCTAGCCGAAGGCATCAGCTCTCCTTCGCAGATAGATCTGACGATTGAGCGGTATCGGAGCTTCTTTCGAGCGTAGGCTTGAGTATTTGATTCACGATTGTTCGATTGATTAACACAGTGTTGGCGGCTCGTAGTCGGTATGTGCTTCCGCCTCATCGTGCCGTTCCTTGCATGATAGATGTGAGCGCGCTTCAGCTAGCGTTGAGAGTCTTGAATCGCCTGCCCCGCCGCCCAAAAAGTCATGCGATGGATGGCCCACACAAAGCACTCTGTAGAGCATTTTGTGTACGCCGCAAGGCATCCGCGTGACGGTATGTGCCGGTCACAAGTCATCCGTAGGGATACTTTCGCTCATGCCCAACGCTTACGAATCCGAGTGCGAATGTGAATGCCAATGCGCATAAGAGTAGCAATTCATGGTACTCGCACTACTGATCGTAAGCTCTGCCGGATGCCGTTAAGAGGTGTGTGCACGAAGGTCACTGACCTTGCCACAGTGAGTGGCTGTCGTTGCATGGCGCTCCGCATTCGAGGTCGCGCCCACGCAGCCGGACAGAGCTCTCGCCAGCAGCGAGCCAGCCAAGCCTCTGCGCGCACCTTGCATACGCTCAACAACGCACACTCGTGACTGATAGGAAGGACCCTTGCGATGTGTGTCGATCTGGCGAGGATGTGCGCTGCTGCAGCTATGCTCATGACTCAGACTGCTGCACACGCTCGATCTGCGTTGGGCGAGCCGTGGCACTGGATCGCGCGTGTGCAGAGTGAGAGATGCACGGACCTAATCAGCAGAACGCATTCCCTCACCACCTTCCTTCCCGCTTCGATCCTGCTCTCCGCTCGTCAACGGTTCTTAGGTCCCCCTGCATTCACATTTATCCTCTGAACTTGCCATCGACTCGTGACCGCTCGAACGCTGTCAGGGGCGCGCGTCGGTAACTCCTTTGCATAGGTCACGCCAGTACTACCATCTCCCCGTGCTCCACACATTACATTTCCTCACAGCCAAGATCGAACGGTGACAGCTTGTACCAGATCCGTGTTCCAATCCAAATCCGCAATCGCGAGGCTGCCTGCCCACAATGTCTGCCCAGGGAAAAGCCAACGGAAGTGCTGTGAAGGGCTCGGCTTTAGCGGTTGCTGGTGGACCCCCAAGCGCCGCTACTGAAACGAACGGCGTGCAAGTCTACGAGCTGACCCTGGCAGACGATGGTTCGCCGTCTCCAGGTGCAGGAGTAAGTCTCGCTTTTACGGCGACTTGGTTCCTGGTATTGATGTGACCTGCTAACCCGGCACCTTTGCGCTCGTCCCAAGTACATTCGCTTGCCTGCTCCTCATCAGCCTTACGCCCTTCGATTCTCGATTGAAGCGGGCAGTCTTGCGTCAAAAGATGGCAGTTTGTGGACCAATTTGCCGCCTGATGGCACAGCATTCGACCGAAAGAAGTTTTGGGAACACAAGTGAGTGCTGCAGGGAGCGAGTGAAGCGCTCGAGGGGATGCTGGTGCGAGGTATGCCCCTCAGTGGATCAAGATCCGTTGCTCATCCCAAGCCACACGTCACACCCCCGCAGGCTACCGAGCGACTTCAGCAAGGCCATCTCCGTCACCTTGTGGATAACTAGAGCCGGAGCTTTCGAGTTCTTTGTGAGCCACGCGCCGGCTGTTCCTGCAACACCATATCCCACCAAGAATGCTCCTCATCAAGCTCCTCCAGCCGAGAATGCCGCTCGAGTGGAATCCAGTCGCGGCTACTTCAATGTCGATCCGGTATTGAAGTTGCCCAGTCGCTCTCCGATTCTGTCAGCGGACAGGTATCCTCTAGACGTTGGAAAGGGAGGTCAGCTCGGCCCAGTCGCGCCCATCAGCCAAGATGGTCTTGTTGTGCAGAGCTTCATCGCCAAGTGGGCCGGCTCCTTGAGCACTTGGGCACCGCATCTCGCTTACGCTCGGGACAGCGGCTATAATATTATCCACTACCCTCCCCTTCAGGTCAGAGGCAGTTCCAATAGCCCTTACTCCATTGCGGACCAGAACGACTTTAGCGCTGATCTCTTCGATGGCAACAGCGGACCTGCCAAGACGTTGGACGAGAGGAGGAAGACTGTACAAAGTAACCTCTCTCAGATCAAAACGACTTATGGTCTTGGAAGCATCATTGACGTGGTGCTCAATCATACCGCCAACAACTCTGAGTGGCTCAATGCGCATCCGGAAGCTGGTGAGTGTTGGAATGAGGCAGGTGCGCATTCGCATCTCACTCACAGCCCCAATCGCATGCACCACACAGCGTACAGCCCCGCCAACTCGCCTCATCTCACTCCGGCTGAAGAGCTGGACCGGGCTTTGTTGGACTTCTCAGCACGTCTCACTGAGCTTGGCCTACCAACAGACCCTTCAGACGCATCTGACGTGGACGCCATCATAGAGGGTGTCAGGCAGCACGTGCTCACTCCCCTCAAGCTGTGGCAGTACTACGTTGTAGATGTCCAAGCAGAGTTGAGGGCGCTGGAGGAGGCATGGGACAAAGATGCCAGCTCAAGCACTTCATCGCGAATTGTTCGGTCGTACGGCAATGACTCCCTTGACGGCAAAGGGTTGAGTGAGGCTACCGAGCTTCTTCGATCTCACGCCCTGCGGAACCGAATGGCTCTTGCAGAGAGATATACTACGCATTTCGATGTGGCCACTGCGCTTGCAATCCTCAAGACATTAGCCAGCAATGATGGCGCTTCTAAGCAACAAGCACTTGATGCTCTCAAGTCTGCGGCAGATGCCGTAAACGTAGACTTTTACAGCGCCTACGACGATGACACCAAGGCGATCATCAGCAATCTCAAGGGTCGGCTGACCTACCAGCGCGTTGAAGCTGGTGGTCCAAAGTTGGGGCCGATCACCAAAACGTGCGTGTTTCTCCCGTCCAGTTGCGTCATGAGACGCTCGAAAGCTGACTTGACAGCTGTGCCTGCTCTTGATGCCCAAAGAGCTCCCTTTTGTGAGCCATACTTTACGCGCCTGGATCCGAAGCATCCTAAGATTGCGAGCAAAGATCCCAAAGTGTTGGCTCTCGCACACAATGGATGGATCTGGGCCGCAGATCCTCTGAGCGACTTTGCCTCCTCCTCATCTCGAGTGTACCTTCGACGAGAGGTAATCGCGTGGGGCGATTGTGTCAAGCTTAGATACGGCGCAAAGCCCGCTGACTCGCCCTTTTTGTGGAAGCACATGGAAGCCTATTGCTCAAGTCTTGCTGGCATTTTCGATGGCTTTAGGATCGACAATTGTCACTCGACGCCCATCCACGTTGGCGAACATTTCTTGGACGTGGCACGCAGGGTCAATCCGAACTTGTACGTTTGCGCAGAGCTCTTTACCGGTTCTGCGGAGACGGATACGTACTTCGTCAGTCGTCTCGGTCTCAACAGTCTGATCAGAGAGATGGACAATGCGCACGATCCAAAGGAGGAATCACGACTGCTGTACCGATTCGGCGTGAATAAGCCAATCGGATCCATGGACACCGACTGTTTGGCCTTTGCAGACAATGTGACCCTGCCAGGCTCCGGCGGCAAGGCACAACCCGCCACAGTGACTCCTCTGCGCGGCTCAAGCCCACATGCGCTCTTTATGGATCTGACTCACGACAACGAGACTCCGTCTCACAAGAGGACAGCCGAGGATGCAATCACCATGGGCGCCCTCGTCGCGTTCTCTTGGTCTGCCATCGGCTCCACTCGAGGGTTTGACGATCTCTATCCGAACCTGTTGGATGTGGTCACGGAGAAGCGAAAGTACAACGTTGTCGAACAGATAGACGACAAGAGTGGCATTGCTGCTGTCAAGCGCGTTTTCAACCACCTGCACACCGAGATGGTGCATGAGAATTATCAGGAGGGTCATTCGCATCAAGAAAATGATGTGAGCATCATTGACTGGATGGCATTGCAACGAAGACTGAGAAGCTGAGACACCCTTCGTGACAGTACATTATGATGCATAGAGTGCACCCACAGACGCATAGAGGCTACCTTGTCGTCACGCATACGGCATTCAACAAAGGCGGCGATCGTGGTCGAGGTCAAAGTAAGTGGACCGAGTGATCCACATCGGGTGCCAAGTGCGTCGTTGACACTTCACCTACTCGCATGTTACTGCTGAAGTCAACCCATTCAAGCTTAACAGGACAAAGCTGCGGTATATCTTCGGCAAGAGCCTTCAAGTCACATCGACGACTCCTGTCAAGGATGACAAGGTGCTGCGAGGGCTGCCATCCACGCTCGTCGATGTGCCTGCTCCAGCTCTGCAGGCGGGGAGCGACGGCGATGGGTCGTACACAGAGGTGATCATTCCTGACAACTTCCCACCTGGAAGTGTCATGCTCTTTGAGACCTGGATGGAGGGCTTAGATGCGAAGCTTGACAATCTCGTTTCGAGTGGCGCAAGCGAAGCGATGGCTGAGCTGGACCTCGTTTCGCTAAATGTGGTCTTGTACCGGGCCGATGGGGAGGAGCGCGATGTTACCGGCGGCAACGACGGAACTTATGCCGTGCCGGGACACGGCTCTCTCGTGTATTGCGGACTAGAGGGTTGGCAAGCGCCGCTCCGAGATATCGTCAAAAACAACGATCTTGGTCATCCCTTGTGCGCCCATCTCCGTGATGGACCTTGGGCTCTGGACTATCTCCACGATCGACTGGAGCGGTGAGTCAAGCGTCATACCGCTTATTGCTGCATTTGAGCCCCGAGCTGACTTCGATGTCGACATGTGTAGCCAAAGGTCGATCTTCCCCCAGCTCAGAAAACCCACTGCGTGGTTCAAGGAGCGCGTGGATGCCATCAAAGCGGCTTCGCCCTCTTTCATGCGTCCGAAGTACCTCGCCCTCCTCGTGACACGGGCGTACCAGGCTGCAAGAGCACACGCGTTGAAGCAGATGGTACCCTTCGTTCGAGATGGTCATGATTTCACGAAAGCCCTCGCACTGTGCGCAGTGCAGATGAATGGTCAGGTCAAATCAGCATCGCTGTGGCACGATCGACCGAGCGCTTCAATGGCGGCAGGTCTGCCGTTCTTTGCTGCTGGCTGGGCACGTTGCTGGGGTCGAGACGTTTTCATCTCGCTTCGCGGCCTCTACTTGGTCACGGGAATGTACGAAGCTGCGCGAGAACACATCCTGTCATTTGGCTCCACGCTGTACAACGGCATGATTCCCAACCTGCTCAACTCGACAACCAACCCGCGATACAATTGCAGGGATGGCGCTTGGTTCTTTGCTCAAAATGTGCAAGATTATGTCAAGATGGTGCCGAAGGGCGAGGCCATACTGCAAGAGCGTGTCAAACGCCGTTTCCCACCCGGAGACAAGTGGGTGGAGCTAGACTCTCCAGAAGCATTCAAGCACGAAAACACAGTCGCGGAGTTGCTGCAGGAAATCCTTCAACGCCACGCCACTGGCATCCATTTCCGAGAACACGATGCCGGACCAAAGGTCGATGAGCACATGCGCGACGAAGGCTTCAACATCGACGTTGAGGTGGACTGGCAGACTGGCATCATCTTCGGAGGCAATGAATGGAATTGCGGCACCTGGCAGGACAAAAATGGCAGCTCCACAAAAGCTGGCAACCGGGGCTATCCGGGAACACCTCGAGATGGCGCGGCTGTCGAGATTACTGGGCTGTTGAAGAGCACTCTGTCATGGATCGCCTCGTTGTCAAAGGAGGGCAAATGGCCTGCAAAGGGTGTCGAAGCTATCGTCGGGGGCAAGAAGTTAGTGGTGACGTATGCGGATTGGGCGGCGCTCGTCCAGAAGAGCTTTGAAAAGTGCTACTGGATTCCTCTAGATGCGCAAGAAGATGGTGCTTTCCGTGTCGACCACAACCTGGTCAATCGTAGGGGAATCTATAAGGACGTATTCGGTAGCGGCAAAGGCAGAGAATGGAGCGATTATCAACTGCGAGGCAACGTTCCAATCGCGATGTGTGTTGCTCCAGAGCTCTTCACTCCAGAAAAGGCCTTGACGCACCTGCAAGCTGCCGACAACGTTCTCCGAGATGTCCTCGGTATGCGGACACTCGATCCATCGGACCGCAACTTCCGCCCTGACTACGACAATTCGAATGACTCGGATGACTTCTACGTTGCGCAGGGGCACAATTACCATGAGGGTGAGTGATCGAGCAAGAGATAGCGACGGCGATTGCGCTGAGCTCATCATGAACCGCATCTCTGCTGCACTTCAGGGCCGCCCTGGGTCTGGCCAGTTGGCTTCTTCTTGCGAGCGTACGTGATCTTCGATCTAGCAGCAGGCGTCGGACACACGCGTCCGAAAGAGACGCATCATCGCGTAATGGCTATGACAACGGCACATCGAGAATTTATCAAGCAGAGCCCTTGGGCTGGCCTCCCTGAGCTCACCAACCAGAATGGACGAGACTGTCCGGATAGCTGCAAGACTCAGGCTTGGAGTGCTTCTTGTCTTCTAGATGCGCTCGAGGAGCTGGATCGTCGTCAGAAATGAGCTGAGCCAGCCCAGCTTTAATCGCAAATACAACTTTGTTCCCGCAGCACGTCTTGAATGAATACATCGATAGCGCCACTCCTTCTTGTGGCACTTCATTTGTCGAGTTCATTCAAATTTCTGCTGCAGAACAAAGATCATGTCTAGGTAGAGCATTGTTCCGGTAATGCGGAAGGATTGTGTCTCCCCGTATCAGGCAGGGCCGCTCGAGACTCAATACACGACACGCTTGCAGTCTTGCCGAAGTCTCCAGCAAGCAAGGGTCTCGAGACCAAAGCAGACCCACGTCGAAGGCGAGTGGGAGCTAACCTCCCACCCTGCTTGGCCCTCGTCAAGTGTCGCACCTCGCATACCGACGGCCGCGCATACACTCAAGATACGGCGTGGAAGTGAGATGTGTGCTGGAAGTTGCGGAGCCAGATTCGTTTGCATTCCGAAAAACGACGGACATTTTTCATTTTTCCTGCATGGGGCGAAATGTCCGATGGGAAAGCGCAGATCGCGATCGCGTCATCTTTTGACGGATCTCCCGCGACTGCCGGTGGCGCAGTGAGGTGGGCGTTTCGATGCGATGGACGGTGTACTGTATCGGTGTGGTAAGGCCGTCGATCGAGATTCAAAGACGATGCGAGCAGGAGAGCATAAGCTCGAAGGGGGCTTTTTGCAGTAGGCGGCTGGCTTCCTTGTGTTTCGTCTGAAGATTTCAAAGCGCAAAATGTCCTTGCATTCGGCAATCTCTTCATCTCACCAACGCGAGATTTTCCGAGCAGCCACGAAATGCAGGAGTTGATGTCCTTGCCATGCCTGCTTTTGAACCCTCCTCAGCGCCAAAGACTCGTTCCTCTGGACACTTGGTGCACGGAGGAGCATGCAAAAAATGTAGCCCAATTCATCCTTTTTACCCGTCTTGCTGTGGTGATGCGCATGCGGTTGGAGCAGCCAAGCACGATAGTGTAGGTTGGAGTGGAGCCGAGGCAAAGGCAAGGGATCGTGGGTGCGAAAGAGGCAGTCCAAGTAAGTCATGCATCGAGCGAGCGCTGCAGCCTGATTCTGTCCTGTCCAACAACATTATTGACTTTTGCTCGTAGTGCATGAACGTTGTCTGAATGCTGTGGCTCAACCAGTTGCAGGGCTTAAGAAGAGGATTCAGTGCGTCTCCTCAGCTTCCAGAAGCAGGTGAAATGAAACGCTTTGTGCATGACCGATTTCGAGCTTGCCGCGCCCAGCTTAGTAGCAGAGCAGCCAATTCCCATCTCTCGTTCACCACTCGTTCACGAGCATGGTCGAAGCCGGATCTGATCATGGTCTTGAAACGCTTCATGAAATCACAATGGTGAATGTGCGCTCGTGTCTGACTTTCGACGTCGAATTACGCACGCGCACGCATCCACGATTCACGCTCTTGATTTCGAATCCTCGCACACTCATCACAATCTTGGGTTCAGATTGCGACTGCTTGTTTGCGGTCAAGCTCAGCAAGCGACCAAGCCAAGCGACAATCGAC